GGTCAACATATGTACAAAAATACCACAAATACTCGCATTCAATCCCTTCACACAAAACACTTGCATTTTGTGACAAAAAACACTGCATTTTGTCTAAACTTTGACACAAACTCTTTAAATCATGTAATTTACTTAAATCACACATAATTTTAGATAAGAATTTACACATCTTATTGATAACAAAATAAATTTTATAATATTTTAAAATTACACTAGTTTAAAAATCTATTTTATTAAAATATTTCACAATTATTTCCACATTTATTGTTCACTCATTCAGTGATAATAACGGTCTGACTCTAACCGACAATTCATTTGAATAAGTCTTTGCAAACTATGTGTCAAATGCGAGTATTTGTGGTATTTTTGTACATATGTTGACCACATGTTTCCCTAAAATCACATACATTTCAGGAATATTTTCAGTTAGCAAGGTCAAATTAACCTACTAATTACACACATATACACAATATTGTAAATATATTAATTTTTATTTTTATGTTTGTTATATGTTTAACTAAAAATTATCCTCAACTTTAAAAAATGTTTTTTATTATTACGCAAGTCTTTGTATTTATCATCAATCAAGTACTTTTATAATAATTATTGAATTTTTTAACTACGTAAAATACTATAATTTAAAAATTATACTTTATAATTAATGTAATAATTTCATGTATATTGCATTTCAATGGGAAAAAACTCAAGTAAAATGTACAAGTCACTCAGTACATTACTTATCGCATAGTTTGCTAAAGTTTTTTGTATTAAATGCCAGATGCCAGGCATTTATCTGTATAATGAGATTATATTTCATAAACATTATATAAGTGTATTATTTATTACATTACCTGTAATGGAGTCATATATACATAATTAAAATAATAGCAAATATTTGGCATTTATTGTGAAAATTCAATTCAATAATAGTTTATGTAAACCAAAAATGAATGATACAATTATGCTGTGTTTGGTATGCGGTGACAAGGCCCAGGGTAAGTTTAAACTAAATTTAAAACATTACAATACTTTGCAATTTATTTTCATTAATTTATATTTTAGGCAAAAATTTTAATATCATTTCGTGTCAGTCGTGTAAACAGTTTTTTCGTAGGCATGCCTTCAAACCGACTGTAAGTATTAAATGTATGTATTTTGCTATTAAAATTAAAAATACAATTTATTTCATAGGACAGCACCTGTATGTTTGACCATACCTGTGACATAAACGTTCACACCAGGTCCTTTTGTATTGAGTGCAGGCTAGACAAGTGTATTACTATGGGAATGAAAAGGGTCTGTATCATATTATTATAATTACTATAATATCTTATTATATATATTATATTCATTTAGTATTAATCTGTTTATCATTTTATAAGGAATTCATAAAAATCCACAAAAATTATGACAGAAAACGACAGAAAGACTCACAAAAAGCTAACAAAAACAAAGTCTCGTATAATAAGACTCCGAGTGATCACAAGTTGGGCTATACTTCTGATATGAATTCACCGGACATTCACTACACGGACATCACATCACATACCAAACACACCAATGATTACCGCAAACACAGCACAGACTCGCAAACCACAGACCCCTCGGAGCTCACGAGCGATAGCCATAGCTCGGAGGAACTGTCGCTTTCAGTCATACCCGTCCACCGACCGCTTATGGACTATAGAAACCAATTCAATGAATTAGAGGGCAAAAAGTTATGGGAATTACTGACAGCCACGCAAATACTGAACGACCGAAAAACGCTGACTTACGATACAAATGACGATAAAATGAATAATTCTCAGGAAATGGCGGGCAATCGGTTTGAGTATCGGTTCATGAGTTACATACAAATGAGCAAAAGGTTGTCCGCTTTTAATGATTTGTGCGAAAACGATAGGATGGCACTCATAAAGGGCGGCTGTTTTGACTTGTTTTGCATCCGATGTATAGCTAATTACGATTATAATTACAATCACTGGTCATATGTTATGGTGGGTGTTATTCATTAACTAGCACTTTCATCATTTGTTATTTAAACTGTAATTTAGTACCATATACCTTTTGTTAATCATAAGCTAACTTTGCAAATTTATTTGTGGGCATAAATAGGGAGGACTCTATATTAAAATTAATAATTTTTAATATTAATTCTCTCTCTCTCTCTCTCTCTCTCTCAAAATTAATTCACAATATATTTTGTATATACAGGACAACAATAAGGAAGTGATAGTAACCTTGGAGTCCTTGCAAAATTTGCCCCGAAATATCTATACATTATCAAAAATATTTTTAAACAAAATAAGCCGAGAATGGGATTCCGATCCAATCATCTTAAACCTGGTAATAATTTTATTATAAATTAAATATGTTTAATATGTTAAAAATAAATTTTAAAAATTCATATTTTGTTTTAGTTAACAGCGATAATACTATTTAACCCAAATCACCCAGATCTCATTGATGCACACTATGTTAAGTAAGTTGAAAGTATTAAATAAAATTTTATAACTTATTACCAACATTATTTATATACAGTATAATTTATATAATTAACTCATAGACTGCAACAACACGTATACACGTATTTACTGCAACGCTATCTACTGTTAAAATATCGCACGGAATCTGAATCGCAGAATAAAATATACAAACTTTTAGGCAGTTTTAAGGATTTATATGTCTTGACACAAAATCACCGGGATAACTTTCTAGATATAGGCGCCCACAACATATCGCAACCACTTTTAAAAGAATTATTAGGTATTCAGTAGTTTTATATACCTGGTATGTTTTGAGGTGTTTATTTCAGATATTTTTATTTAACATATTTTGTAATCTAAATGTACAGTATTTATCACTTGTAAATTAAACCTAAAAATAGTATTTAAACTTAACTTGACATAAAATTATACAATTTTGGATTGTTTAAATTATTACTAAATTGTTATATTTTTATAATTTTATTACCCTTTATCATATTTTAAATAAATTCTACTTTTAAACCCAAACAAGGATATTTATATATAAATTATCCCGATACGGTTTGCTAAAACATATAATAATATATTTTGTATTTTTTGGTCGATAGACAATTATGATAAACTGTACTAGATATCAATTAATCTAGAGAGTATATTATAATATAACTCACTTAAAATATTAAAAATAATTAAGTTAATATTTTATTTAATTAAATAACAATGTATCTTTATAAAGTACATATAAACCACAAAAACAGGATTATATTTATAATTTATAAGTATGATAAAAATAGTCTGCGAAATTGAACGATTAAATTTTAACAAACTTTTTTGAAACTAAATTACTATATTTTGCTACCATATATAAAAATTATTTGCCATTAGATAGTATAGTAGTTGTGGGTAACTATCAAAATTATCACAAAAGTATATAAGCAAGTACATACAATAAACTAAGGTAGTAGTTTTGTTTCATTAGCCAAACTTATTAAAAAGACATTTTGTGTGCTAATTACTCGTGTTATAAATTGTTACTGTACATTTTATTGTAACTAACGGTACACTCGTTGTATACGCCACTAACGTATCATTATTTTTATAACACTTATTAATAATTATATAATATTTTTAACACAATTCATATTACAATTGTTTTATTAATAACCTAGCTCAGTGATTACCAGGAATTATGCATCATAATAGCAATACTGAAAACCGGCAAAAACGGTGCAAAATATGCGGCGATCGGGCTATCGGTAAATATTTTTAAATTTTAAAAATAATTTATAATTTTAAAAAAATACTAAATACTGTATATTATTACTAAAATATGCAACAAGGCAAAAACTTTGACGTGTTAACCTGCGCTTCGTGTAAGGCCTTCTTTCGTAGGACTGCCCCCAAAAATAAGGTATTAGAAAGTTATTTAAAATATGGCATGCTTAAATAACCACCCTTTCCACTAGTCATATGTTGGTACTGGGAGGTTAAGTATTTTTAAAGATTTAATAATTATTTTAAAATTGTTATCTATATACATTAAATTGTTATCGCACTATTACGATATCAATATAAAATTATGTGTTCACGTGAAAATGTACAGTTTGTTCTCGGTCATTTCTCGGTCATATGTACTTGTTAATATTAATCTTTTATATATTTACACAGAATATTAGTGTGCTGTTCATATATTTATATAACCATTTCTAGGCCTTGTTATATTTGACTATTAAATAATTAATTATGTTTAAATGTTAATTTTAAAAATTAACCCGTTCAACTATAGCAATTAATTAGCACTAGGTACAAAAAAGTTATAATACTAAACATGTAACTATTAGAAAAGTGAACTAGCAATCGCATATAAACTAATGTTTAGCCCCTTATCACGAGTACAAAGTTTATTAAATTCAATACTGATTGTTATATTGTATGTCTACTATTTAATGAGTAACTGATCATGTCACATTCATTATCTAAAACACACTTTACAATTACATACGAAACATCGCAAAGCAATACAAATGCCTTTTGGATAATAAGTGCAAAATCAATGTCAAGACCAGAACTTTCTGTATTAAGTGTCGGCTCAAGAAGTGCTACGAAAAGGGAATGAAAAAAGTAATTATATTTTTATTAAATATAAATTTTATTTTACTAACACTACTAATGACAAAATTAATTGCACAATTAACAATGTTTGCTATTTGATGGTTATCTAGATGAAATAGACAACCTGAAAGTCTAGCACATATTTTAGTCCTTATAAGTGATTTTTAAAGTACTCTATAATCCTTACTAACTTGCAATAAATTTACCCACCTTATATTTGCACATTTAAAAATTTATACAATAATGATATATTGTATGCATTCCCATATTATAAGTGTGAATCTCAAGCCTAATATCTAATCGCAATTTCAAAACCTTAACTTATAATCTGTTGTAACTTATTTCACCCGGCATATTATGCACCCAAGGATTATATACTGAGTCGCGAAGTGAAGGAAATGAGAAAAATCAAGTGTTTGAACAGCGACTGGTCTCATACTACCGGTGCCGTCGACGATACCAACTACCAGTACTACTACGCCAGCGATAACTCGTCCACCGATAACACCGGCGACTGGACTCCGACTACTGACAAAAATCTAGAAAATTACGATCCCTTTCCCCAAACGGTGTACACTCTGCCGGACCCGAATGCCGGGCCCCTGGAGTTCCCCGACTACTTCGGTGACATAGACTTTGACCTGGATGTTGATATCTATAACTCCCTGGTGTGTAGTCTAATTGGTTAAGACACCCGCTTTAAAGCGGGAAATCTGGGTTCGACTCCCAGTGCACCCCCACCCCTCCCTTATCAGCCCCTTTTCCTATACCTATCCCAACAGACATACTGTCCCTTCCTTATGTTAATTAAGTATTAGTTTTATGTGAAAAGTCAATCATATATTTTAGTTTAAAGTCTAGTTCACTGAATGGTCTTATTTAAGAGATTATAAAAAGATTTTTTTAAAAATAAAATTTTATAATATGATCAGCATTTATGAAATATTAATTTATATGAGTGATTGCATACTGGTAAAATAAAAGGTAAAACATTTTAGCCCAAAATTTAAATAAATTAACACGATACTTATAACTTGTAGCTATTCCTTTAAATATAAGTTACAGTTTGTATTATTAAAAGTTAAAATATTTCTATTATAAAATATAACTACTGTAAATATGTTATGTACTGTATTGAGAGTAAAAATTTGATTGCTTTTTGATTCCCAATGAAAAGTTAATTTAATACCATTAAAGATAGTTTATTTGTGTTCAAAATCAAAATTACAGTTTGTATTAATGTAATAAATAAAGAAAAATATTACATTCATTACAATTATACCAGAAAACCAGAAATGAAATATAAAATATTATATATAAACAATTAAACTGTACTACTGTAGCTATATAATATGATCAGCATTTATGAAATATTAATTTATATGAGTGATTGCATACTGGTAAAATAAAAGGTAAAACATTTTAGCCCAAAATTTAAATAAATTAACACGATACTTATAACTTGTAGCTATT